AAAGAGTCAACTCGCCGGCGGCGGGGGAGAAATGATAAAAGAGAGAGAGGAGGGCAGATCACCACCTAGAAGCACATCCTTCGTGCGCAGAGGGGGGAGGAAAAGACGGAGAGAAAGAATGAAAGAGGGGAAAAAAGGCAGCACGGCACCCGGAGAAAGAAGACAACTCGGGGAGAGGAGGAGGAGGAGAAGAAAACACACACGCGCGCACGCACACACACACCGCGGAGAGAAAAGAACAGAGAATCAAAGTGATCAAATATGCTAAAAAGGGGGGCGCGGGAGGGAATGCGATTTATAGGCGCCGGGGCTGGCAGAAGTGGCTTCTCCGCGATCAGCTCACTGAGCTCTCTATATAGTGAACTTTGACACGACTGCTGCAACTTAGCGCACGTTGCCATGGCGACGGCGCGCCTTATAAGGCAGCAGCCGGGGTTGGCCTGGCCAGGCGCGCGCGCACCGCCCCCTCGCCGTCATTGGCCGGAGCGCGGCGGCCCCGCCATGGCGGCCGCGGGCTCAGCCCGGTCCTAGCGCGAGCGGTGTCGCGGCCCGGGCGCGGGGGGCGAAGGGGGGCGGGGAGGGGGCGGCTGTGCCGCCGCCACTGCCAAGTGGGGGATGGGCCCACACTGGCCCCGGGCGCGCGGCCACTGCTCTCTCCGCACCCCGCACCCGCGGTTTCCGCTACAGAGGGGAGAGGACCGCGGCGCGCACACACAACGCCTCTTAAAGGCTCCGCGAGAGGCTTGGGATGGAATCGAGGACTTCGACTCTCGCAACTTGGCGATGCCACCAAATCCGTCGTTCGCGCACCACCCGGGACTCCCAGCGCATCTTTATGCCCACTGTACCAGAGAAAGAGAAAAGTTCCCCGGTTTATTTGCAGAGGGGTAGTGGGTGAGAATGGGAAGGTGCCTTGAGCCGAGCTTGCAGGCATTTTCCAAACGAAACATTTGGTCAAATCGGGTGATGGTAGACCCTTCCCTTAGTCTACTCTGATCACTTGCTTGGTTTGGTGGCTATTTTTTTTCTTCCATCCTTCCTTCCTTCCTTCCTTCCTTTCTTTTCTTTCTTTCTTTCTTTCTTTCTTTCTTTCTTTCTTTCTTTCTTTCATTCTTCCTTCCTTTCTTTCTTTCTTTCATTCTTCCTTTCTTTCTTTCTTTCTTTCTTTATTTCTCTTTCTCTCTCTTTCGTTGTTTTAGAGAAAAGGAGCCGTTCAGTGGCTGTGTTTTCCTTGTAGGGTTAACATTTCACAGGAATGTGGCCTGACATTTTAATTGCTCAAATAAAGCATCTCGGATGCTGAGAAGCAGAAATAGACTTCATCTCATTGTCATGATGCAATTAAAATCAATTTTCTTCAACTTTATCCTCTCTCGTTAGTTTCAGCTAACTCCCAAGCCCACGTCCTGCCACACACCCAGTCGTGGTGAGAGGTGAAAAGACCTTTCTGCCCGCTGATGGACAAGCGGAGGCAGCCTCCCAGCGTCCCCTGTGCATACCCTCTGTACACACATGTAAGCGCACATATATCAGATGCGCATTTGTCAATGTACACAGACAAAGGCTTCAGCGACTATGCTTCTAGGTAATAGAACAGTTGAGTACGACTTCACTGTTCCTCAAGTTCCTTTTAAGCATTCATACGGTCATTAAACTTTTGGGGCAGAGATTCTGCCCCAAATTGGGAATAATAACAAGTACAACTCACAGGAGTCACGCACAAGCCATATTCTTCCTCAGGAGATTCACTGCAATGAGAACAACTTCATCTCCTGTGCCATTCTGCTCAATGTGCTAAAATCATCAAGCCAGTTATGTCTCTGAATTCCAGGGCTTTTGGTTTAAACATCAAACATCTAGAATTGCCCCTCAGAACACACTGTATTCCAAATCAGTAACCTGTCTGTTGGATTTTGACCAGTTAGTGGGTTATGATTATTCAAAATTTATAGAACAAAACTGTGACTCCATCATACACTCTTTGCACAAAGGAAAAACTGTAGACTGGTAATGCAACCAGGTTTATGAACAATTAAGATATTTTACACAAAACATGTTGAGCTTCAGGAAACATGAACACACATAAAGAGTAAATTAATGACCATAGGAAAGCATCCTTGATAGTTTAAAAAATCGGAGCGATGAAGGATTAAAAAATAATAAACCATACGTATAACTGACGTGTATAGATTGTACTTTGCACTCAATACCCTTTACACACATGGGGAGAATACGAGGTAGGAACTAAATGAAGATGTAGGCAGATAGGCACTAGTTTATAGGGAAGGAAAGATTCTCCTTATGCTTCGTTCTTGAAACCTCCTTAGCCCTCACCCTTCCTCCGCTGAAATCACATATTTCACTAAGGCTGCAGGTGCTGGGATTATTTGGAAGTTTTTAAAAAAAAAAAAAAAAAAGAACTATAGTGGACACTGAGCTATCATAAACCTGGTGTGTAATGAGATTGCCATAGAGCAAAGCCAGGCAGAAAATTTCAGGTTGATTAGAGACACAATATAACTTTCTCCTAAAGAGGACAAGAAGGATGGAAAAGAAATCATTTCGGAGAAGGCTGTGCTTTTTTTTTTTTTTTTTTACTCTTTTTCTTTTCAACCTCTATGATTTGAGGAATTTCCTAATGCTACAAATGTCAGTAGATTAGGGGCAAACTCAGCAGAGATGTGGTAGGGCTGGGGTTGA